CGCCCGATCTCTGCGCTGTCCCCTGTGCCCACCACCACCGCCTCCGCCTGGCCGGACACCACGGCTGTCGCGCTGTAAGCCATGTTCTTGCGGTCCCCCAGGGGCGCCGCGGGGTCGAAGGATTTGGCCGCGTCCTTGGAGACGGGGAGGGACTCCCCTGTCAGCATCGCCTCCTGGACCTGCAGGAATTCGACAAGGGGCCGTCGGCGGCGGCGGCGGCGGGGTCGGGGTCGGTGGCGGCAAGGGGGGGCCGCTTGGAACTGGCACGGGGGGAAGCTCTGAGGAGGTGTCTGCGCGGACGTGGGCGCATGCAGAAGCGCGCCCCCGCTCCGAAAAGCGACCGCCCCGTGACAGCCAGGGCGGCCCCAAATGGAGGGCACTGGCCCCTTCTTTTCGCTTGAAAGTGATGGCATCGCGCGTCACCGACCTGGAGGTTGTTGGCGCTGATGATGCGGACATCCGCGGGCACCTTGTCGCCCGATTTGAGCAGTACGACGTCACCCGGCACCAGAGTGTCCGCCTCTATGGTCTGCGCCTCCCCGTCCCGCTTGACCTGCCCGGCCGCACCAAATCGGATTGCAACGGAGTACATGTTGGCTGTTTAGAACCTTGAAGATTCATTCGCATGGAGGGCCTGAAAACCGCGGTTGCGGTTTGAGGCGCTCGAGGGCAACCAGAATGTGAGTGGGGCCGGCAGGCGCGAGCTGGGACGCGGGCGGCGCTCGTACTGGGGCGCAAGCTGTGAGGGGGCTCATTGGTGCGATCGGCGGAGTGCCGGCGTTCCGGGCACGCGCCTTGGCGGTGGGCGAGAGCATGGCTTTGATCGCGTCGGCCGCCTTTTCTGCCTTCCCCTCCTGGAACTGAGGGGTTGTGCATGCAAAGGCGTGCGTGGGGGTGGAGGGGCAGAGGGGACGCGCGGCGGGAGGAAAACGTGAGTGCGCGCTTGTGGGCAGAGCGCGTTCGGCAGGAAGAGGCCACCGGCCCGGCCCGACGCCGGGTATACCCGCCGCCCGCCAGCATAAAACAACATAGGCGGCGCGCCGGCTGCAAACTGAGGGCCTTGCAGCTGCATCGAGCCGCCCTTGCTGGGGCCCGCTGCGTTCGCCCCCACTCCCACCACCCTTCTCTCGGCTCCTGCATCATGCGTCACCAGCCCCTCTCCGTGACCAACAATCTAGGACACCCGCACGCTCGCAAGGGGTGGGGCGTGCGCTGGCCCTCACCAGCCCTATGGCGCAGTTGAGGATGATCACCAGTATCACCAGGGTGAACTCGGCCCACGACTGCATCGCGCCCTCCTGGGGGGATGCGAGGCGACGGCGGGGTGGCGCCAGGGACGGAGGCAGGGGCAAGGGGAGGGGGTGTGAAACCGAGCCGAGAGGCGTCACGAGCCCGTCAAGCACGCACGGCGGGCGGGCGGCGCCGGCGCGTGTGCCGGGCGGCGGCATTGGTGGGGGGCCGGCCCTTGCTCTTGGGCGAGGGCTCCGGGGAGGCTCGAGTCGGGCTGCTGCTGTAAGCGGAATTGCCTGACAGCGGCTGCAGCGGGCGTCGGCCGGAGAGTTGGGGCCAAGACTGAAGCTGAGCGGAGCGCCGACGAGCAGGGCCGCCGGAGCGGGAGCGGCGGTATCGCGGCACGAGCAGCGCAGGCGGCGCCGCTGCGCACCACTATGG